TCGCTGATATTGCTAGTATCACTCAGCCCCCTGTGAATAGCAAGCAACCATCAGGGTGCCAACGATTCATTGTTAGGCTGATGGTCTCCCTTAGCATATTTGGCAAACTGGTTGATCCACTGTGAGAAGGTGCTAACTGTGTTTAATATGTCCTGATGCATGCTCCATCACACAGGTAGAAAAATCTTAAAAAGTTAAATCAGGTCCTCTGGGCGTGTTAAAAAAGTAAAAATAAAAGGTAGAAACATTTCGTCTTTCGTCCGAAAGACTTCCTCAGGCTGAGGAGCTGCATTCAGCTCAGCCCTATAAATAGTGCCTCCTCACAGTGGACCAACCGTTTGTTGTTGATGAAACTAGCTGCTCACATGTTCAAGGAGGACCATCAGCCTAATGATGGATTGTTAGTACCCTGATGGCTGCTTGCCTTCACCGGGGGCTGAGTGATACTAGCAATAACAGCATTGTAAGAGGGGGACAGTTGAACCCGGAGGCCTCCACCTCTGTTTAAAGATGGATGGTTTCTTTTCACAAAGATGGCCTCCTTTACTCCTCTCTCAAACCATCGTTCCTCTCTATCAAGGATGTGAACATCTTCATCCCTGAAAGAGTGACCGCTGGTCTGGAGATGAGTGTAAACCGCAGAGTCTTGGCCTGAAAATGTAGCTCTTGAGTTTAATATAGCTCCTCATATTGAAGAAGTCTTTTGGATGAAAGACAAAACATTTGTATAATTTTTTATTGTTTAAACCCATCCAGAGGACCCAATTTAACTTTGTTAGATTTTTCCAAGTTTAATTTTTGCTTATGATAAACAATGGAGGATATATTTGACATACATTTATGAAGTTGCTACTTATTTTTAAGTGTTCTTTTGATGTAATTGATGTTCATGACCAGATATACTAATTCCTCCTTTGCATTTTTTAGGTTCCTGGAATACAAGGCAGGGCAACAGAATGATGTCACAGTCACACAGCCATCAATTTCATTATTTACGCAGAAAGTGCAGCTCTACAGCCCACAATCACCAAGGCAACAAGCCATCAGTCAAGCCATTGTCCAAGATTTGATCATTGGGTGTTGTCTGCCTCTCTCACTTGTGGAAAACAGTCATTTTAAACACTTTCTTGAAGTTATGGATAGTAAATACACACCAATCTCTAGAAAAACGGTTTCTGATAGACAAATTCCAGAGTTGGTAATCAAGGTCAAGGACACTGTTTTGGAGAAACTGAAGACCCAGTCATCTGTGTCATTAACAACTGACCTCTGGTCTGATCGCAGGCTACGCTCCTTCCTTGGGGTGACCGCCCACGTGTGCTACAAATCAAAGGATTCCTATGCACTTGAATCCTACCTGCTGGACTGTAGGCGTTTCACAGGCATACATACTGGAGAGCACATTGCGTCTGCCTTTGAGGAGATCACAGAGGAATACGGTATCCATGACAAAACTAGCTATATCATAACAGACAATGCTGCCAATATGAAATGTGCTTTCAAAGTACACATGCCCCAATCTGATGACAGCGAGAGTGAAGAGGAGCATTTAGATGACGAGCACCTGTGGGAGGACATTAATTCTCAGGAAGACACCGAATTACCCTGGTCATCTGGTGCACGTCTTTCCTGCTTTGCACACTCTCTGCAATTAGTTGTGAATGACGGCATGAAGGAGGTCAAGGCCATTTCTCACACAATAGCCAAAACATCACGGTTCACCACCTTATTGCATAGCAGTTCACAATTCAAAGACAAGTTTGAGGCTACGTTTGGCACTAATAGGACCAGTCCAGCTGCAAACACAACTCGATGGAACAGTATATTTAAACAAGTACAGGCCTTCACAGCTCTGGACCACAAAGCCCTGAATGAAATGTGCAGCAAGGATCACGAGGAGTTGGTGTTTAGTGCCCGTGAGTGGAACCATCTGAAGGAACTGAGTGCAGTTCTTGCTCCATTTTCTGAGGTAACAGACCTGACAGAAGGGGAGAAATCAGTTACCATTAGTATGGTGGTTCCAACTGTCCTGGACTTGAATACACACCTCCTCAAGATGGAGGACACTCGAATGCAGTGCCAGTCATTGGTCAGAGCCCTCCAGCAGTCTCTGGTGAAAAGATTTTCTGGAATCTTTTTAAAAACAAGCATGGCCAAAGACAGTGGAAGAGAGGAACCTTTTAACCACAATGTTTACTTCTTGGCCACCATGCTGGATCCTCAGTTTGGCTTAAGCTGGGTGGACTTAGATGTTACCAATGGGGGAAATTCAACATCAGTGAAAAAGTTCAGAGATGAGCTTAAGAAGACACTGACAGGTCAGTATATATTTTCTCTGCTGAAAATAAATGTCTTATTTGCAAAATCATAAATCCTAAAATATTTCAAATTAGTTGTCTATAAAAGCCTTAACTAGTCTTACAGTGGAATTCATAGTCTTCATTTCATCTGTTTACTTTTGTCATAAAAACATATTTTGTACACTCTGAGCCTATTGAAACAGATATTCTTTATATTTAGGCTGGTAACATGCCTATTGTACACAATCCTGACTCACTTTTATATTAAATGGGACTGTACTTATATAGCACCTTTCTATCTTATCAGACACTCAAAGCACTTTACATTACAATCTGTGCCTCATTTACACATTCATACGGCACTCTATTAGATCTCTACAAAGCTAATTGAACAAATCATTCAAAGGAGACTAATCAGAGCTTTATCACATTCATACACTGATGGGACGCACATCGGAGGCCCCTAATAAAAGGTCCTAAACGTATTTAATTCAACTCTGATATGTGCATATCCTTTTAAATCTAACTCAGTCATTGTGTTTGTGTTTTTCAGAAACATTGATCTTAGAGGTGGAGAAGATGATGGACATGAAAGAAGACACGTGCTCAGAAGTTGTGAATGTGGATCCAGCCGCAGCCAGTGATTCGCCACCAAACAAATACCCTCGCCTTCTGTCCCGCTACAAGGCATACAAAAAGCACAGCTCAGACCAGGATTCAAGCATACACACACAGATAAGGACATACTTTGATGCCATCCGTGACTTTGACACAGACAATGCACTTGTCTTCTGGGCAAAAAACCACACTAGATTTCCACAACTGCACAATTTGGCAATGAAGGTCCTATCAGTCCCTGCCTCCTCTGCACCAGTGGAAAGGGTTTTCAGTCGAGGAGGCATTTTAATGAGACCCCATCGTGCACGTTTAGGCCACAGAATGTTGCAATCACTCATATTTCTTAAATGCAATGAAACACTTCTTTAAACTCCAATAATCAGTTAGTCATCTGGACAGTTTTTTTTTTTTTTTGTGGAAAGACTGACGTTTTGCCCTCCGGGGGCTGTCCTCTCCCCCGTCGACTCCTTCCAAAATGCAGCCACAGCCAAAGTGGGATTTTTTTTAAGTAGTTATGCATCGGGCAAACTTTGTGTTGCTTTGTATAGCTGCAACGTTGAAATTGATTAGCCTCGTGGTTTTCTTTCTGTAGTAGTTTTTGTTCACATTCCTGGCTGCCTGCAGTGCAGTTATTTCTCTGAAACTTTATGAATATGAATAAGCTACTAAGTTTTCTTGGGTGATTTTTATGATACTGTGTTTTTTTTTCTTAATGTGCCTTGGATCATACAATGGAAGATCCCCAAGCAAATACACAAGTCTAAATGAAAATTAAACAATTTTAGAAAGTAACTGACTTCAAGTTTCCAATTTAATCCTAAAGACTGCATTTATACTGCCCAGTATTTCATGTTGACTTCAAGAGACCAAAAGAAGGTAAATGCATCTTGAGTTTTGTTTTATTAGGATCAAAATGGGTCACTTAAATTAGAGTTTAAATAAATTAAAGTAAGCATGCACAAGTTGTGTACAAAAGACATTGCAGTACAAAATTCATTTCACAAACAACACTGTTTAAAAACGTAAAAACATTACTGTCTGGTAAAATCATCAGTTTTGACACATTAAAAAGGCTCATAACTTTATAAAAATATTTTATAATAACATTTTATTTATTTATTTATTTTATTTGTGGATTTGGTCTCGAATTGGTCTCGCCCTCCCTCGGTCTTGGTCTTGTCTTGGTCTCGGACTTTAAAAGTCTTGGTCTTGTCTTGGTCTCGGACCCTAAAAGTCTTGGTCTTGTCTCGGTCTCGGTACACTCTGGTCTTGACTTGTCTTGGTCTCGGGTTAGGTGGTCTTGACCACAACACTACAAGCAGGTCAGTGGGGATGTCAGCTCCAGTTTCCTTGCTGGACTGGTATGAGAGAAGAAGAGAACTCATCATCGTGATGGAGCGACCAGTTCCTGCTGAGGACCTCCTTAAATACATAGAAAGAAACGGAGGTACCCTCAAGGAAGACGAGGCCAAGGTAAGCTGATGGACAAGCTTTGGGAGTTTGTGTGTAATTCAGAGATGTTGTCAGTCATTCTGCTTTTTCATGGTTTCATGTTGGTTGGAGAGTCAGAACGTAGAACATGTCACACCACCACCCTGGCTTCTTCAGCTGCTGACATTCACATGTTCTCGTCTTTCAGATTATACTAAAGCAGCTGCTTGATGCTGCCATGCACCTTCAGCGTGAAAGCATCTTTCATCGTGACATCAAGACAGAAAACATATTGATTGAAACCGGCTCCGAATTCACAAGACTTCGCTTGATCGACTTTGGAATGAGCTGCATGGATAAATATGGAACCAGCTACTCTGATTTTTATGGTAAGATTAAGTTTAACTTGAAAATAATCTGTAATTCTCATGTGCCTTTTAAAACTAGAGCCCCTCTACCTCCTCATTGTCCTTCAATTAATCCCTGTTTCAACCATCTTTCAGGCACCGCTCTTCACGTCCCTCCTGAATTGTTGTTTCAGTTTACGTATAGTGCTGAACCAACAACGGTTTGGCAGCTCGGAGTGGTCCTGTTCGATGTTCTCCACAAACGAGCGTTCAGCTCCGTGATGTTCCTCATCAGAAAGATTAGGATCAGTTACCGTCTCTCTGAAGGTAAGACAAACACTTGTGCTCATGTCTCACAGTTACACACCAGATAATCCTGTAGAAATGAAACTGTACATGTAGACATGTTGTTGGACTGTACTGCACAGATTTCAGAACCAGAACCAATCTGGAGTTGGCAGTACAGACACACCGTTAGTCCCATGTCAGTAGGGGTGGGCACCACGTTCAACTTAATGGCAGTCTACTGTAATCCTAATCTTTGTCATGTTTTCCCTCCAGATTGCAGAGATTTACTGAAGAGATGTTTGAACATGTTCCCAGAAGAGCGTCCCACCCTGAAGGAGCTTCAACGTCACCCTTGCTTCACGTGAAACACACACACACATTTGTAAAAATTCATGGGCTGCATGGTGGTAGTGTTAGCACTTTGCCTCACAGAAAGAAGGTTTCCGGTCTGAATCCCAGCTGGGGCCTCTCTGTGTGGAGTTTGCATGTTCTCCCCGTGCATGCGTGGGTTTTCTCTGGGCGCTCCAGTTTCCTCCCACACTCAAAAAACATGCTTGTTTTTGTGTGTCAGAAACAACTTTGAAAAGATTAATTTTATCCCCTTTTGTCTGTTTTTTCATGTTGTTTTGAGTTTTAGGTGAGCGAGAGGATTAACAGTCCCAGGGCAGCGCCGAACCTTTCATGACATCACACACCTCAACAAAACGTCACACCATCCCAAAGTAAGTAATGATATATTTTTTAATTTACATAAATAAATAAAATAAGGTTATAAATTTGTGTTTTTTTAATGTATACATATGTATGTATGTTTTATTTTTACCTTACATTGACTAGCTAATATTTTAAAATTATTTACTGATATTTGTGTATAGATTTTATTCCCTGTGAACAAAGAACGATGCATTTAAAAAAACAAAGTTCTTTAAATCGAGGGTTCCCAACCCTGGTCCTTGAGGAACACCATCCTGCATGTTTTAGTTGTTTCCCTGCTCCAACACACCTGATTCAGTGATTTAATTACTTCCTTCTCTTCTGCACAAGCCTGTAAATCACCCATTGATTAAAATCAGATGAGTCGGAGCAGAGAAACAACTAAAACATGCAGGATGGTGTTCCTCAAGGACCAGGGTTGGGAACCCTCGATTTAAAGAACTTTGTTTTTTTAAATGCATCGTTCTTTGTTCACAGGGAATAAAATCTATACACAAATATCAGTAAATAATTTTAAAATATTAGCTAGTCAATGTAAGGTAAAAATAAAACATACATACATATGTATACATTAAAAAAACACAAATTTATAACCTTATTTTATTTATTTATGTAAATTAAAAAATATATCATTACTTACTTTGGGATGGTGTGACGTTTTGTTGAGGTGTGTGATGTCATGAAAGGTTCGGCGCTGCCCTGGGACTGTTAATCCTCTCGCTCACCTAAAACTCAAAACAACATGAAAAAACAGACAAAAGGGGATAAAATTAATCTTTTCAAAGTTGTTTCTGACACACAAAAACAAGCATGTTTTTTGAGTGTGGGAGGAAACTGGAGCGCCCAGAGAAAACCCACGCATGCACGGGGAGAACATGCAAACTCCACACAGAGAGGCCCCAGCTGGGATTCAGACCGGAAACCTTCTTTCTGTGAGGCAAAGTGCTAACACTACCACCATGCAGCCCATGAATTTTTACAAATGTGTGTGTGTGTTTCACGTGAAGCAAGGGTGACGTTGAAGCTCCTTCAGGGTGGGACGCTCTTCTGGGAACATGTTCAAACATCTCTTCAGTAAATCTCTGCAATCTGGAGGGAAAACATGACAAAGATTAGGATTACAGTAGACTGCCATTAAATTGAACGTGGTGCCCACCCCTACTGACATGGGACTAACGGTGTGTCTGTACTGCCAACTCCAGATTGGTTCTGGTTCTGAAATCTGTGCAGTACAGTCCAACAACATGTCTACATGTACAGTTTCATTTCTACAGGATTATCTGGTGTGTAACTGTGAGACATGAGCACAAGTGTTTGTCTTACCTTCAGAGAGACGGTAACTGATCCTAATCTTTCTGATGAGGAACATCACGGAGCTGAACGCTCGTTTGTGGAGAACATCGAACAGGACCACTCCGAGCTGCCAAACCGTTGTTGGTTCAGCACTATACGTAAACTGAAACAACAATTCAGGAGGGACGTGAAGAGGGGTGCCTGAAAGATGGTTGAAACAGGGATTAATTAAAGGACAATGAGGAGGTAGAGGGGCTCTAGTTTTAAAAGGCACATGAGAATTACAGATTATTTTCAAGTTAAACTTAATCTTACCATAAAAATCAGAGTAGCTGGTTCCATATTTATCCATGCAGCTCATTCCAAAGTCGATCAAGCGAAGTCTTGTGAATTCGGAGCCGGTTTCAATCAATATGTTTTCTGTCTTGATGTCACGATGAAAGATGCTTTCACGCTGAAGGTGCATGGCAGCATCAAGCAGCTGCTTTAGTATAATCTGAAAGACGAGAACATGTGAATGTCAGCAGCTGAAGAAGCCAGGGTGGTGGTGTGACATGTTCTACGTTCTGACTCTCCAACCAACATGAAACCATGAAAAAGCAGAATGACTGACAACATCTCTGAATTACACACAAACTCCCAAAGCTTGTCCATCAGCTTACCTTGGCCTCGTCTTCCTTGAGGGTACCTCCGTTTCTTTCTATGTATTTAAGGAGGTCCTCAGCAGGAACTGGTCGCTCCATCACGATGATGAGTTCTCTTCTTCTCTCATACCAGTCCAGCAAGGAAACTGGAGCTGACATCCCCACTGACCTGCTTGTACTGGTCTGGAGCTTTAACATGGTCGCTACCTCTGCAGAAAGCTGCCTTCCATTCTCATCCTGAAAAATCACAACAAAAAACTGAGGGTGAGGGAAAATAAGCCTTTAAATCATTTCTAAGCCAGCAAGGAGTTAGTTTGCAGATTAAAAACAGTCAAAAAGTGCTGCTCACTTACCGTATGTTTGCAGTAAATGTTTTTTTTGGGGGATGTGTTTGATCGCCACCTACAAGATACAACAGATACTTTGATTAAAGCTCTCATCATATTGTGAATGTCTGGAATATGACGGCGTGTGTTTGTAATATTTACCGGTAAGTTGTCGGCTCTCCGATAACCAGCAAATACTGCTCCACAGCCTCCTGCTCCGAGTGGACCCTGTTCCTCGTATTTGATCTTAAAGTCGACTAAAAACACACAAACACATTTTGGGTTTAGAGTACATGAGAATAACATTAGCAATCGTTTACTGATGTTACATTATCTCTAGTGAGCGCTCCATCTTGGTTAGAAGTGTTTTAATTGTGAGTATCTAACATGAAACCAAACATTAAGAACTAAACACTGACCTGTTTGGGCTTTGACGGTATTTTTTTGTTTGTCCGTCTTTTGGGCCTTCTTCCTGTTAGTTGGTTCCACCACATTAACAGCCTTCCTTTTCTGGATTCTCTTTCTCTTGTGTCCTTCAGAAGGTTGGTAATGTTTGATGTCATGGCTGCTGGATCCTAACAAACAAAACAAAAGTATCATTAGCATGTTGTTCTTATGCACTTTCAAATTCAGTCAAATAAAACTTTGTTCTGGTTATTCCTGTAATTTGAGGAAATTATTGTCTTTAAATCTGAATGCCAACAATAATATCATTATACTTTACATCTAATATGTAAATAATTATATGTATAAATCTGTACCACTGTCTGTTGAGGAAGAAGCAGCCTCTTCAACCAGTATGCGGTCCAGTTGTCCCCTTTTCTTCTTGACTGGCCGTGGTACTTTTCCACCGTCAGTCATTTTTCTCTTGGTTCCCCTCGTTTTTTTGGAGACCCTGGTTTCTGTGGAAGGTCCAGCTTCACAGACCCTGGCCTTTTCTCTGGGTGTCTCCTCATCATGAGTGGCTTTTCTTTTAGACGCCACTGTCCTGTTGCTCCCTGGTGACCCTGTGTTTTGTCGCCTTATCCCTCTGTCCATCTCTGCAAATGAGAAGATACATGAGACGTGTTAGTTCTATTTCGTATAGGCTTCGCCCTTTAAGGCTGTCGCTTAGTGGGTTTATCCCGTTATGCGGAGCATTGCACTGAAAAATTTAGTCCACGCCCACCTGCTGTGTGTGCCCCCACCCGGTCCGTATAAATTATGTTAAGAGCGGGAAATCGGCTCCCATTTTTTCTTCAGCGAGCTAATAGCACTGTCAGAAGAACAAAGAAGGAAAATTGTGTAGATGACCAACCTTTGTTAAGGATGCTTGGCCCGGCAGTCGACCTCCGGTCGTCCGGTGAGTTCTCCTCCCCGAGGAAAAGCTGACGAGCAGTCTTATTTCAAGGTAAGCGCCGAGGAGTATTTCTCAGTGACAGGTCACTACACGCTGGACAACGCCATCTTGTAATTTTCCTCTTATCGCCGACCCTCGGAGCGAATCGGATGGTTCCTCCGGGACAGGCAGCGCTCAGCTGCAGCCCCCCGCTGCTCATTCCCTCCTGGAGAGCGTAGTGTCGGTGGAGGGGGGCTGAGTGAATGCTCACCCCATCCCACCTCGTTTTCGCATCGGCGATCACACCGCTCCCGGCCGAAGGCGCCATCAGGGGTTGCCCGGCGTAGCCCAGGAGGTGGCTGACATGAAGGGACCCTTTTTTACGTCCTACGCCTTTCCTGCCAGTTCGGATGATCCGGCGGGAAGGTTGTTTACTGGGTTCCATTCCGGCTCACCGTCTTGATCCATATGGCCTTGTGTTCCCAACAGGACGTCCTACGGGCGAGGCCACAGACAAGTTTTTTCTTGGTAGATTGGGGGAGCCGGTCTCCGCAGTCCGCACCCATCTCCAGAGCAGGGGTTCACTGAGCGGAAAGTCCCTCCGTGCCCCCTGGAGCCGAGCCTGATGGAGGCTTTATTGGAACAAGATGTCGAGGTGGACCAGCGTCCCGTGCCTCCGGTTAGCATAACCGAGACGGTGACACCGCTCTCCAACTGAGCTCACCAGCATGTGTTCCACACGGCCGCAGCGAACAACACATTACGCTGTTGGCGTACACGTTCAGAGGCGGGAAGAGACGGTGGCCCTCTGTCCTTCGGCTCACTTCGCTCTTGTAGCGGCTGCTTGCTAACGACGCTGCCGGCCCCTGCAGTACGCTCTGTCTACAGGGCAGCTGACGTCATCCTCAACCGGTGCGAACTCTTTTGCTGTCTGCCGCCCCGCATCACAGCCGGAGAACGAGGTCCCAGAGGTTCTCCTGGCTCGTCACTCCACCTTCCTCTCAGGAGAGCTGCAGGAGCTTTGTTGGAGGTCCTCTTTTCATCAGCGAGAGATCATTTCAAGATGCTCCACGGCTGCACAACGCCTCCCCAGCTCTGCTACGCCAGCCCCTCCCGTCAGACGTCCCAGGCATCCGGAAGTTCATTTTTTTTCCCGGACTTCGCCAACAGGGGGCCCTCCAGGACAACAAACAGAGCTTAAAGGAAGGTAACCAGGTGTCGGGTTGCTGGAGGTGTGTTGATGACACTGTGAAATAACATCATTTTATGATGAAGTGTCCTTTGGCCAGGCTGTCAGCATGGTTTATCTGACAAGCGGCCCCATCACACACACTCATCACGAATGAGCCTTTTTAAGGTTGTTTTTCATTCACTGTCAGCGGTGCCGATACGCGCTCCCGCTGCATGAAAGCGCGCACGCAGCTCTCAGCGCCCGCCGTTCACGTCAACGTTAACGTGAGACCACGGTACGAGCTCAGCAACGTATCTCGCTCTCGGCAGAAGCGACACACGTTTTTTCATTGCAGTGGTGTCAAACGCGCGCTCCCGCGGCGTCAGCAGTTTCACAAGCCTCACAGCGGCTCTGCTACTTCATCCTCGAAGAAGGTTTTCTGAATTAATACTGTAGCTCGTGGAATCACTGTGAAGTTCACGTGTCTTGCAGCCACGAATGAACGTGTTTCTGCAGACCGAGCCAGTGGTAGCCTCGCTTCACCAATGCCGCGCGCTGCTTCCTGACCGCACCAGTGCCAACGCGCGCTCCCGCGGCGTCAGCAGCTCCACAAGCCTCACAGCGGCTCGGCTCATACATCCTCGAAGAAGGTTTTCTGAATTAATATTGCAGCTCGTGGAATCACTCAAAAGCTCACGTGATTCGCAGCAAACAATGAACGTGTTTCTGCAGACCGAGCCAGTGGTAACCTCGCTCCACCGATGCCGCGCGCTGCTTCCTGACCGCACCAGTGCCAACGCGCGCCCCCGCGGCAATCCTGGCTTAAGGCATCGCATGAATGAGGACGCACACACACGACCCTTCAGGGCACGTCGGCTCATACGTGCACCCGCTTCTCGAGCGTTACACGGAGCAGCTGCACACAACGTGAGCACAACTCAGATGAGCTGCTCCCCGCAGCATCAGCAACACACAACGTCTTGCATGCTCGGGGACGCGCGTGTTTTTTCTCTCTCACTCAGCGCGCTCCAGCTCACATCAGCATGTATGTGAGTTTCACAGCATAAATGCGTGCCCGCTTTATAGCTTATAAACGGGTGGCAATGAACGCGCGCTTCCAGACGGATGGGCGAACCGTTTTCATCCGGGATTCACGCTGCAGTTCAGCTCAAACCCCGGTGTGGAGGAACTCTGTGACGTTTTTTTCTGTCATTTATGAACAGATCTCGTCCCCTCTAGCAGAAGCTCAGGAAATTCTGTTTTAAATGTAATTTCTAGAGTCTCAGAAGGAGAGGAAAATGCAAGGTCCCTCTCTCATCACTTCCTGGTCCCAATGAATTGGAAAGATGAGATTTATTCTAGATCGTCAATTTCTGAACTGTGAGAAACAACACTCCATTATGCACCCAAGCCGCTTTAATTCTGCTTTATCTGGACACCTGCTGCTGCTGAGCAGCTTGTACAGACAGGTGGCAGCAGTGCAACTCACGTGAACCGGTTGAGTGATATCAGCTGTTTTCCATCAGCAGACCTACGTCACACACATTTAACAAGCTGTGGGGCCGCTGTGGCTCTCCACACAGCAGCTCTTTTAAATGTTTTTGGAGTGTCGCACGGGATCTTTGAATGTGACTCAACACTGACCTTGAGCTGCAGAATCATCAGGGTTTTTGATTCACACAGACAGCAGTGACTGTTGCATACATACTGGCAGGAGATGTATGCGTTTCAACCCATGTGCCACATTGTGAGACAGATGCTGTGTGGGGCACACCCAATCTGCTCTCCATTGGAGTGGGTACATCTCATGTATTCCGAACAGGGGGCGGATGTGATGCCCAAAGACGGTCTTTTGGGGCACGGGGACCTGGGACTTTCCACCCAGAGCTATGGCTCAGACACGGTAGAAATCCTGCCAGCGTCTGTGGACGTGTAGCAACACGAGAGAACGCTCAATGTCAATTATAAGTATCGTGGAGCCACGGGACGATCCACCGCTGGGTGGACGTGCCTGCTCACAGCCTGTGGTCGTAATGCCTTTTCACCTTCTTCTCTCCCTCTGATATCACTGTTTTCTGAACCGAGCTCAGGAGGAGGGACTGGCAGCTCCTCTGCCCCAAGTGCGTGAACGCATCATGGTTCCCAGGCCTACGACATTTGTTATCAGGGTGCTTGTGGAACCTGCCATGGAGGGAGGACGCTCTCCTCCAGGCGGGAGGAACGATCAGGAATTAATCAGAATAGGCCAGCACCTGTGGTTTGGCCGCTGTGCGGATCTTTTTGAGAGAATGGATCTCTCTCAAGATGTAGTGCGTACGATTCAGGAGTCACGTGCTGCAACCACCACAGCGCTGTTCACATCAAGTGGTCAGTTTTTTCAACGCTGCTGTACAGAGAAAGGCGTAGAAGCCACTTCATGTCCACTGGACGACATGCTGTCGTTTCTGCAGCAGTCGAGGGACAGAAATCTGGTGTCCAGCACGACTATCGTATGCTACAGCCGTGTTTTCTTCTTGTCTCAAAGTTGTCGGAGACAGAACAACCTTTAATCATCCTCTTACGAAGCATTTTGTCTCAGATTGATATAGCAGCTGTGGGCCTGTTTGTGACACGAGAAACGCTCAGTGTCAATTATGCGTTTCTCTGAGCCCACGAGACGAACCACCGCTGGGGTGGATGCGTTTGCCCACAGCCCATGGCCCAAAATGCTTCTGTACGCGTTTTTCTCCACCTCCTCTGATCTTATGGTTCTTGAACCGAGCTCAGGAGGAGGGATTGACAGCTCTCCTGGTGGCCCCGAACGCGTGAGCGCACCATGGTTCCCAGCCCTGCAACGCCTGCTGTCGGGGTGCCCGTGGAAACTGCCGTAGAGGGAGGACGCTCTCCTCCAGGCAGGAGGAGCGACCAGGAGTTTCCCAGAAATAGGCCAGCACCTGTGGGTCTGGCCGTTGAACGAATCCACTTAGAGAGGATGGGTCGCCCACAGGATGTAATGCGCACAATTCAGGTTTCACGTGTTGCATCTACTACAGCGATGTACACATCAAAGCGGACAGCTTTTCAGCGCTGGTGTACAGAGAAGGGTGTAGAGGCCACCTCATGTCCATTAGGTGGCATGCTGTTCTTTCTGCAGCAGCTGACGGACAGAAATTTGCATCCAGCACGTTTAAAACGTACGCTGCAGCCATCTCTTCCTGACACGAAGGTTTCTGAGACAGAACAGGCTTAATCATCTGCTGATGAAGCGTTTTCTAAAAGGTGTACAGAGACGCAGGCCTGTCTCACACCCACTTGTTCCACAGTGGGATTTAATACTGGTTCTGCAGGTCCTGATCAAAGCTTCATTTGAATCTTTGGATCAGGTTCCACTTAAATTCTTGTCTCTTTAAAGAGCCCTGCGGCTGGCTTTAACATCCGCTAAGAGTGAGTGTTTTATCTGCCCTCTCTGTCGCTCCGTCATGTCTCAGAATTCAGGCTGACGGCAGCTCAGCTGATTTTAGACCAACCCAGCTTTTATGCCTAAAACATCACGAGCTCTTTTAATCAAGAGCGATATCGTTGGAGGGGTCATCCCCCCCCTTTCACACAGATCAGAAGAAGTAGCGTCTTTTTATCTCCTCTGTCCTGTGCGGGCGTTGACGTGTTACATAGCGTGCACAGCTGCAATGCGTCAACATTTGTTTGTGCATTATAAAGATGCATCTGCAGGTCGACCGTTATCCACCCAGTGCTTGTCACACTGGCTATGTGAGGCCAGGTTCTGAAGCCTACAGAACATCAGATTTAGAGCCTCCTGTCAACCTCAGCGCACACTCGACCAGGGGTATCGCATCTTCGACTGCTTTGCATAACTGTATGTCAATGCAGGACATTTTGCACTGTGGCCGCGTGGTCAACACCCTGCTCATTCATTCGCTTTTATCTAGGTGATGTGACGGCCGTTCCATGACACATTCTGTCCTTAGTGTTTACAGAATGAATATTGTTGTTTCATGGAACTCCGTTTTACTCACATCTGTCTGCATGCATTACAGTGTGAGATGTTATCAGTCACAAGTTGTGACTGTTATTTTGGTTCTATTGTCACTAATCAGTTCACGACTATTGTTACCAATCAGTTCATTTGATTAATAATCAGCTCTCCTGTTATTATTAATCTGTTCATACGGTTCAGCCGTAAACCGGTTGGTTCATGGCTCTTTTCAGCGTTTTTCCCTCCCCGTTGAAGTTTTCCGGGGCGTTCATGCATTCAGAATGCATAGTTACACAACATGCATCTGTGCATGGCCACATAATTACGCAATGCGTAATTACGCACCTGGGAGCTGAGTGATTAGACTTTTTTGGGCAAGCTTCTGCTTCATACGGTGTTCGAATGGACCCAGTGAGGCGAGGACAACATCCGCTTCGCCCTTAACCCACTAAGCGACAGCCTTAAAGGGCGAAGCCTATACGAAATAGAACGTTGGTTACGTACTGTAACCCCAGATTCTATGAGTATAGGCGTAGCCCTTTAAGCGTCGGGCCTCACTGGCTCCTAAATGGCTGAAGAAAAAGCTATTTTTGGGAGCCGATTTCCCGCTCTTAACGTAATTTATACGGACCGGGTGGGGCCCACACAGCAGGTGGGCGTGGACTAAATTTTTCAGTGCAATGCTCCACATAACGGGATAAACCCACTAAGCGACAGCCTTAAAGGGCTACGCCTATACTCATAGAATCTGGGGTTACAGTACGTAACCAACGTTTGTACTGAATTATTGACAATGAGTTATTTTTGTAATTTTTTTATAATTACTCATATTTATAAATCTACCACTGTCCGTTGATGAAGAAGCAGCCTCTTCAACCAGTATGCGGTCCAGTTGTCCCCTTTTCTTGACTGGCCTTGGTAGTTCTCCATCGTCACTCATCTTTCTCTTCACTCCTCTGATTCTTTTGGCCTGGTTGCAACTTTGTCCAGGCTCTGTGGAGACACTGGTTTCTGTTGAAGGTCCAGCTTCAGAGACCCTGGCCTTTTTTCTGGGAGGCTCCTCATCATGAGTGGCTTTTCTTTTAGATGCCACTGTCCCAATTCTCCTTGGAGACGCTGTTTTTTGCAGCGTTATCCTTCTGTCCATCTCTGCAAATCAGAAAAATCAAGAGACATGTTAGGTATGTAATGTGTAAAGCTAATATCTAAAAAAGTTAAATCTGGTCCTCTGGACATTCAAAAAAAACAAAACAAAGCAAATCAACAAAAAAATGTAGAAACGTTTCGTCTCTCATCCGAGAGACTTCCTCAGTCTGAGGAGCTGTATTCAGCTCAGTCTCTTAAATAGCACCGTCTCAGGGTGGATCAACCAGTTTTGCTGCTGACAACCAAAACCAGCTGATCACATGCTCAAGAAGGACCATCAGCATAACAATGGATCATTAGCACACTG